GTGAGACGAGGCGAGGCGAGGGAGCTAAAATTCACCCCGTTTCGGCCTCTGATTTGTTCATCAATTGAAATTCAAAAAGCTGTTTCAAAACGATTATGGGATTATGGTGGTTCAAAAAAACTTCTCACACAATTATTAGATGAAGAGCAACAACGAGAACTAGAGCGAGAACAAGAATTGGAAGAAGAACGACAACAGAAACGTCCTCCATCTGTTCGTCCCTATGAGCCTCAATTACACAATGAGATCAAGGCTTTATGCGATATGCATGGTCCTATGTTGAATTTATCAAAATTAACTTCAGTATTTTGTCCCATTGCTGATGCTTTTCTTGGTACTACACTCTATCGTGAATGTCAACCACATTGTTGGCAACAAAATCTTTGGATTACTGATGAATTCAAACGTGTGATTCAAACATATAGAGAATCATTAGATCCTTTTCTACGTCCTGCACGATGGATTCTGATCTATCGTAATGAACATATCATTTTTGTAAGTCCTTTCGAAGCCAATTGGCTAATGGGTCGATTACATGATCTTTATCGTAAGCAATCACCTGGAGAATTATTCACTACAACATTACGTCTATTGTTACCACGGACTAGGCGAGATCAATCAATTATAGTTAACACAACCACTTTAAAAATTCCTCCGTCAATTGGACCCGATCGTGGTGCTGTTACATTCCCAATTCCGATTGAATGGTTGGTGGCATTATTTATTTTTAATGGCACGCTCTACTTTGAAACTACCGATGAGCAAGCAGCCTATTGTCGTTGCCTAGGTGTATGTCCCAAACCTCGTACTGAGATTGAAGAAGATGCTTTTGAGAAATGTTGGATTACTGTTGATGGATTCGTGAAAAAATCAGATTATCGTGACCTTTTACAACTTCAACAATGTCGTTTTCATGCCAATCCTTTAGCATTCGTTAGAAAATTAGTCAAAAATAGAAACAATACACATGCACCTCTTATATCTCATGTCGGTAACATTCTTATAAAAGCTGTGAAGCTTTCAGTCTGATCATTTCAACAATGAATCTGAAAGTTATTGAAGATGGATAATGTAATAGTTACTGAACCTTCTCTTCTCTTGTGTGATTAATATGTAAGAGTCTGTTCGTAGTGATATAGACATGACTGGATTAAATGAAGTACCTCAATAAACATGTTCGTCACAGATAGGGGTCAAATAAATGAATCTTTTTTTTGTAAAAAGATGTCTTGAAATGTTTATTAGCTTCAGAGTCGATTCAAAAGTGGGTGAGATACTTTTTTAATGCTTTCTAGAACCACCGATGGAAGTTCAGTATTATATGAAATAAAGATTATAAATAGATAGAGCATCTCAAGTGGTATAAAGAATCTAATAAAACATAGTTTAATATTCCATTTTCAGCTGAAAAAAAAATGAATAAAAAAATAAATTATGCGAGAAATGAGGGTGTGGGTGGGAGTGGGATGAATTAAAAATATGACCCACATCCACACTCTTAAAGTATCACTTTAACTTTAACTTTTAAAGTAAAGTTAAAGTGCCATCCCTAGTAAGAACATTTCTTTCATTCTATGAAAGTTTGACGTCTTATAACAACATTTGATGAAATCTACTTAAATGCAAAACAATGGGAAAAATTTAATATTATCTTCTATGTTAAATTGACGTGTTTTTGATATAAAGCATAAAGGTTCTTCACTAAAATATCACGATATAATCAATCAGCTTAATTCTTTATTTTGGATTGAAAAGCAATGGTTTTTTTTTGTTTTTTTTACATATCAACATAATTGACAAAATAGATTAGATAATAAAATTTTTCATTCAACTAATCCATATCAGTAAAAAGATATATTGAGGTATTTTCTCTTATCTTGAAAAGAAAAGATTATAGATTTTATTGGAAATTAGATCAATAAAACTATTTAGATATTCAAGAAACGAATTAAAATTTGCTCAAACATGTTAATATTTGTGGTAAACAAACAACAAATAATTGTGTCCATGTTTTTCTAAATGCTATTGAATTAACTATTAAACATTATTTTAAAACATCTGGTCATTCAATTCGAAAAACTCTTAATAATATTCTTCCTTTAAAATAAATTACTAAATTAGTTATTCAATATTATCATTTTTCATTTGAACAAAAAGTTAAATCATTAGGTTTTACATCTAATTTAAATACATAAAAATTAGATTTACTATCGCTCAATGAAACGAATTTAAAATTAATTCAACAAACTGAAACACTTTTCAATATGTATCAGAAAGAAATAAAATAAAACTTTAGAACTTCATGATTGTTGTACATTAGAAAAAATTCCATTGATTATTAATTTATTTTCACAATTAGAATATCTTAAAACAAATAATTGAACTTTTACTATTAAGAACTAATCATCAAACACATCATTTATTCTTTTTTATGTATTTCCGAAATATCAAAAGTATGTTTAAAAGAATTAAATACCTTAATTAAATTAGAAAAATTACTTGATAATTATTTTACTAAATAATAGTGATTTATGTTCATGTTGCTAGTTATTTACTTTTTAATAGTTAGTAGTTGTTTTTAAGTAAACAAGAGACTTGATCGGCAAAATAACTATCATAAATGAAAAAGCTGTGTCGCACAATCCCTGCGGGATTAAAATGTGAAACACGATACATCTATTGTTACTAATTCACTGAAAATTGCTTTTTTGTTACGTATATTGAACATATTCCATCAGCATTGCTAAATTTACAGAGTAGAACTTCATAAAGGAAATACTTCAATGAGATGTTAGCTATCAATAACATTTGATAGTCTCTTGAAGACGGCTATCAGCTGCTATGATGATTTATGAAGGGTGTCTGTCACGGTTCGTGGAGGAGAAAGGAATGAATCCAAAATTTCTACTCTATACACTTCAACATTTCTTTCAGATCGTGTTTCACAAAAGAATAATATTAAAAATGTATTTCAAATTGTTAGTTTATATAATTCATATAATAACATAATAATTAACTCATCATAGAATTTCAATATAAAAGTTATTTAAAAAAGATCTTGTCTTTTTTACTTGAAGAATTGTCTACTGGACTTGAAGAATTCATCAAATAGTATTGGTTAATCAAGCTGAAAATGTAATTATTTTGTTCAAAGCTATACATAGAAAGCTCATGTGATACATAAAGTTTTTATTTTCTGACTTTTCTCTCATTGTCCAACAAATATTAATTGCTATTTATAATACTCAGCGATTTCTTTTCTAAAAATCAATATAGAAGATGGAATACTTCGAACCGTCAATGTTTATTTTTACGAAATTTCTTGATTAAATTAGAGTTAATCATGCATCTTCTTACCCTTTATGGGTATCCCCCTCGCTCTTTTTTTGACTAAAAAACCGATTTTGAGCTGGGCATAGGATACGATAAGCTCATGTGTCATAAGCAATTAGAGACATCATTCGATCCTAAACAGCTTACTATTACAAAGTTACGGAACTTAGAAAAAAATATTTTTCATAGGAGTTCTAACGAAATTTTTTTCTTTTACTTACCGTAACGCAAAATACGAGTTTTTCTCAATCGAGCCTGCTTACGATTTCCCTCCAACTTTGTCCAATCAGACTGAAATTTTTATCACAAATACTTGGAAGTATTTTCTAGAGGTAGAATCCACTATTTTCGTTTTTGACTTTCTTATTCGGATTTATTGAATTCCGAATACTAGCATTCCTGCTTCGGATCCGAATTCTTTTCGTATTACTCCCCTTAAAAAACAAAGAAAGCGAGATTTTTGAAAGAGTTTAAAACCATCTCTGAACTATAGTATAAGGTATCTCTAAAAAAAAATTTCACCCCGACTGGACCAAGTTAGGTGAAGGTCATAAGCGGACCCGATTTGGTCCTATGGAAAATCTTGGTTCTTCCTGAGAAATCGCGAAAACTTTGTTTAAAATATTTTTCCTCGAACACACGTATCGTTATTTTAGGTGCTCTCCTTAAGGATAAATATCGTTCAAAAAATCCATTGTATAAAAGAGTATTTGTACCATAATTTATAGAACTTGAATAAAACTAAGATAATCTATTGAAAGTACCTAATTATTATAACCACTATATTTTAAAATGTTTTGTTCTACGAAGATAGGTGTAATCTCAATTGGTTACAGATCAATAATAGACAATCAAAATCATCTCAAAAATCAGTTGCAATCAATATTCTTATACAATGAATACGATTGTCATGTTCGTTCTTTGGTAGACAATTTAATAAAATTTCTCTACACTATGCAGTTATAGTCGTGTAGAAAACTAAATTGAGGTTATCAGACAAAGTAAAGCGAATGTAATCAAATATAAATGATTTGTTTACATGTATATGATAACTATTACAGTATGTTCATCGTATTTCACATTTAAATCCTGTATTGATTGCATTGAAAGCTTTTTCTATATATATTTATACAAAATATAAAAAAACATAACATCGTGTTCTTCGATCCAAATGTCAGGATGGAACTAATAACCTATTCGGTACAACAATGAATGTTATGAGAAATATGAAAGTTAAGTATATTGGTGTTATTGGAAAAAAAGCTTCACAAAACAGTTCAAATCGATTTTTGATTGTCTGTCAAATAACCAATGAGAGATATCTAATTTTATGCTGAAGACTTGAAAATATATTGAACTACTCTGAATAGAATCATGCTTCTGTTTGTATCCATATTCACGCTCTTTGCTATGTCAGCGTTCATTGTTTAATAACTGACTAAGAGAACAATACACGTCCGATATTTGTGTAGTGATGCCAATGAAAGGTTATTTATATATATATACACGATGATACTTTTATGTGTAGCATTTTCTTTCACGAAACGAATAACAATAGATAGATAGAATGGATCAATTACCATGCGAACTATTACATCACATTTTTTGGTACATTGATCAATCGTTAGATCTTTTTCGCATGTCTTGTGTCTGTAGTCGTTGGCGATCTTTGATTATGAACAATGAATATTTTCTAAATCAATGGTTTTCTCAATCATTAGAACGCTCACGGCAAACTGTTCTTAATATTTATGCTCACAACATCAACCAATCTGAACAAAAGTCGATGTTAAACAGCGATCAATCATTATTTCCTATCAATCTTCGATCACGTGAATGTTGGTTCCAACCTCCGATTGTTTTAGAAATTTCATCTAATGATGAAGATCTACCTGCGTATGTTTACCCTTTGTCACTCTTTAAGTCATCTCATTCTTTCTCTTTCTGGCTCTTCTTACCTTATCAATGTAACTTAGTTATACGAGTCTCAAATTTTGACGTCAGCGGTGCATGCATCTTTCTTCGTGGCAATAAAAATTATTATTTTGTCAATGGAAACTGCGTATCAATCAATGATCGATGGATTCATGTTGTTTTCAACAAAATTAATTTACAATCCAATTATCGAATATGGATCGATGGACAATATGTTTCAAAACTCAATCAAAATGATATATCCTTCATTGAGATGGAGAAACAGTCTTCGTTAAATAATATTGTAATACTTGGCAACTTTGAAAATGATTCATCAAGGTCACCTAGCAACATTCGTATAGCCGATCTCAATGTTTTCAAACGTTGTTTGACACATTTCGAAATTCAAGCTATTCATCAACAGCAAACATCAATCAAACAAGCTAAAGTCGGTACCTATATCAACAGTAACAAAATACACAACATCAAAGTCGACTGATATTACAAATTCAACTTTTCTTTAAATAAACTCATTTTCTTCTTGTTTCTTGTGTTTTCGACATTGTTGATCGGTTATTTTGTCTTCTTTGACTGCTCAAAAATAAACAGATAGTTAAATTATACGACAAATTGTATTCATTCAATGTCTATTTTATGTCCCTGTTATCGAAAAGCTAATGTAGTGGCTGAAATTTTATTGAAGAAAAGTAAAAATTTCAAGAGTAGAAGAAAAATATCAAGATAAGAAAATATTTTATTCTATTATTCAAAGTTGATAACATTTCGCCCTTTTTTTTTGATCATTTGTAAATGCAAGACAATAGCTTTCAAAGCTGACTTCTCTTAATTGTCTAATGAAACGAGCACCTGCACTCTGAGATAGATATTCATTTTGTCGATTGATATCTGTAATAAAAGAAAATGTATCTTGATTGTTTCAACTTTGTCCAAAAGATGATGAGAAGAAATGAAATATCATTTTCTGTTGATGATTTTTGCAATAAAATGTAAATTATTTTATAGAACGAACAGTTAAGGAAGAAATTTTAAAAAATCTATTTCGATTAGCAAAATAAAAATTAGTAACAAATTCTTTGGCTTTTTTCTTCTCTACTAAATTGAATCCATGTTATCAAATATCCAGCCATATATAATTTTAATTCATCATCGGTTAATCGACAAGCTTGTGTAATATAAACACAATAATAACAAAATATATCAAAATGTTTTTGACTAAATAAAAGATAATAATAGGTGCTTCAACAACTGCTTCACTTTTTTGTTTCGGTATAAGATGATAGAACAAAGGTTGCTCCTTAAGCGTTCTCTATTGATAAACCTTTATTAATGAAAGATGGACTTGACAATTTCGTTTGTTTTTTATGTTCATTCATAATATTGTTAAGATTAAATCCTTCTTTTATTTCATAATGGCGACAAATATTTTTTAATTGTTTCAATGCTCAATAGTTTCAAGAATTTCTTCAAACCTAACTTTGCGGGATCACAGCAAAATGATATTTCAGTCTTTAGTCAAAGAACGACATTGGAAGTTTCACAATAGTTCAAAAAAATGAATGATTTCATCTATTCTAACGAAATATACCAATCGTTTTGAAGTATAATTGCAAACTCTACTGTTGCATGAACAAGTTAACTAATCCGCACTTATATATTGAAATTTGGAACTATCATCATTCGTTGAGATAGTCATCAAGTATTTCAAATTGAATATTTTTCTTGAGTTCAGAAAACTGTTTGAACTTCAGCTATCTTATCACATCAAGAGAATTCAATGAGTTCAAACTATGAAAATTCCCAGAGAAGTCAATCAGGTTCTATTTTTTTTGAACAGTGAAAAATCTGTGAAATCTTTATCTATGGATATATGCAAACTCTCAGATTCCGAGATCGATTGATGTCATAACAGTAGCGAATACAGTCCTTA